CGAGCTATCCAAATGAATAAAGAAGTGAATGAATGATGGATGGATGGATGGATGGATGGATGGATGGATGGATGGAACAAAAGGAAGATTTTAAGATGCTATACGGAACCAGCCAGATTTATCAGGTTGGTCAAAGGATGTTGTTTTGATAAAGGCAGCGCTAGTCACAATTCATGATGGAGAAATGAAAGCCAAGGCATGATGTGACTAAGAGGGACCCCGTCTTTGATGAGCAGCTCAACTGCACACGCTCAGGTCCCTGCAATGTTCATGACCAGGGCTTGCTAAAGGACAACAAATCAGAATGAGAGCCATTCAAAACGTTAAGGGAGACCTCAAATAAAATCTCCCCACTGCCAGTGAGAGTCTCCTGAACAAAACAATGTCAGGTAAGGAACTGATCAGAGAGAAGGTAGAAAACAGAAAAAATAAGGTGAAAGGGAACAGTAGCAGAGGAATCCAGGCAGAAGCCTGAGTGGGGAAATAGGTGTGTGGAAATGGGCAAAGGCCAGGAGAGATGATGAAAACCCACAATTCTTAAGGGACAGCACGAGTATCTATTTGGAGGAGTGGAAAGGCATTAAAGCTGCAAGTAGACCAAGAGAGGGGGAAAAAAAGGAGAGTCAGAGAAATGTCTATAAAATAACACCCCTCACCAATGATAACAAGTATAAAAGAATCCTTTTTTCTTCTTGAGAAGACAAAGGGAATTTTAAGTAGGATTAAGTAGCTGTCGCTTTCAGAACTCAGCAGCTCTCAGAAGCAATGATAACTACATAAATAGCTAAGTGGATGGTAAGAATTACTTCACTTTGGAATCTGGCCCGCATAGCCAAGTTAACAGTAGTATAGCATCTTTTTCAAAGCTTTCCTGAGATTCTAAGAGGGAAAAATCATCTCAGAAAACTGTGCTGAGTTAATTTTAGGAAGAGGAGGCTCCTCACGGCTTGAAGACATTCTATCTCTTGAAAATTGACATGACAGAAGCCCTATCCTGCTGGGAAGCACTCTTACGCACGTAAATACATTGCCCGTATCATCCCCAATGGAAGCAGATAATTACATTCCCAGATTACCGTCGCTTACGGTAAAATTTACCCAAAACATAACTCACAAATGATGCCCTAAACGCAGCAAAAAGGGTCTTGTGGACATCCCACTTTCACAGAGTTCCCTAACTTTTGGACTCACTGTGGATGGTTAAAACGTGAACCGTGTAAGGCCAAATTTTGAAACTCGCACATCTGTACACATTTATTTCTGAATTAGATGAAATTGGACAAATTGGACAAATAATTTCACATCCTGGACATTTCTGCTCATGAATATCCTATCAATATTTCCTCTTAAGTACATTTGCCCATTAACGGGCTATATATCACCTTCTCTCTTCCCCCAAAACACAGATGAAAATTGAATGTTGATGGTAAGTTGGGGTACAAGTATCTTCTCTCACCATCTGGAAATGTCCATGTGTTACTGTTTTTTGTTTTTTTATTATTATTATTATTTTTAGGATGTTGCATTACTTATTTTCTACCCAAAGGCAAGTGATTTCGGTATCACCCACAATGGAATTTGCATGCAAATCTGTTGATTGACCCTGTTCCCTAAAAGGCTTGCACTAGCATTTGGAGTAAACACCATTTTCATTGCACTAGAAATAGTTCTAATTGGACAAATGGCTACAATGTTAGCAACACCCAAATAAATCACAGGAATCTCAAGCAGGCATGGCACCACGTCAGGAGTCTACCACACCCCCGTTCCGTGTTTACGCCTGAAACAACTATCCAACTATCCAGTACACACCATCCACAGATGCTAACAGGACCTCTATATACAACAATGTTTTTGGAAAATATGAGTTTAGAGAAACTGATAATTCTGAAAACAGTCTGTTAAAAAGTTATGGGATTAGTTAAGAACTAATTTCCCACCAATTTTATCATATGTAGCCTATATACAAGTAAAAATTTTGTTCACCCATTTTATTAACTGGTAGATTTTCATTAATATAGTCTAAACAATAATAGGATATGAATGTATAGATGATCAAATTCAGAATGCAGGATGAAGCACAGGGTAAAACATGTCTGAATGAAAAACACAGAAGATACTCGGCGCATAAACTCTCCTTTCAAATTCTGTAAACTGGCCCCTCTTGATTTTCCATGATTCCTTAGCAAGCACCCTCCCCTCCAGGGAGCTGGACCTCTGCACTGTTCTTCACCCATCTCTATGCCATGTGCTACTCATCCACCTGTCCCCTCATCTTGGATGCTCTTTCTCAGATCTTCTTGTTATCAAGCACCCAGCTCCTCCACAAACCTCTGAACTTTAGAACTTGAACTTGGCCATGTATTTTCTGAACGTCCTTAATATCTTTGTCCACATCTAGCATGTAATCATAGGATTTTCCCGCCTCTGCTTATGTATGTGTCTGGCTGTATCTTTTTCCCCCCTCAACTTAATCACATTATTTAAAGATAACACTTTTCTCTCCATGCCTCTCTTTTACGTTTCTGTCAAGCTCCTAGTCCACATTGAATTTCTCTTACTCCAGCGATTCCCTCTAAATACTAGGTTTATCTGAAAACTCACTTAAATGTGCTCTATCCTAACGAAAACTTTCACAAGCCCTCGTTCTTTCTCAAGTTCTTCTACCATGGCTACTTTCTTTTTCTGCCGAAAATCTTGAAAAGGCATTCTTTCTTCCACTTCCTCTATGCTGGGTCTGTCTCACAATTTGAGTCTCTCTATCATACTTCTACGCCTCAGCCATACCTCTGGGAAACTACGGATATGCACCCCATCTTCTCTCCTGGAGACTGGGAAGGCATTGGCTCCCAGTTCATCTCCTTCCCAGACTCACCATGCTCAGTTTCCTTTCCTGGCTCCTCCCTGAGGGTCTTCAGTCATCATCCCTCCTCTGCTCAGTCCCCTAAGGCAATTGCACTTCGGCCCTTGTCTGTTAACTTCCAGGTCTCCATCTGCCGTTCCCTAACCTGTATTTAGTGCTGAATGCTCCGTGGGGTCCCAGACCTTATGCTGCCCCCTGCTGGGCAGTTCCGTGGGGCTGCCTCAAAACCAAATTCAAGTGAGTCCCTCCAAACCTGCCTTCCATTCTGTCTTCTCTGTTAAGTAAGTACATCAGCATTTTCCTAGACCGAGCTGATAGGGATTTGATATTCAGAATTTCCATCACTTACTTCCCACCCCCAGCGTGACTCACTCACCATGTACTGTAAACACTACCTACTAGACCTCGGTCCTCTGAGATCTGCCCCTAACTCACATGTCCTTATTCAGGCTGTGACGGCCCAACACCAGTGCTACTGCATGAGCCTTACCTGACCTTTCTCCTTTCTCTCCCCTGATCGCCATCCCTCCTGATGCTTCTGCCAGAGGAATCTTCTTTGAAACAGGCATTTGAGCAGCACCCAGGATAAAAAGCCTTAAGTAATTCTACCTGACAGGTAGGATGAAGCCCAAACTCCTCAGCTCTGGAGTTTCTAGAAAGATCTTCAAGATCTTGCATGAGCTCACCCCAGCCTACTCCTTTAGCCTCATTTGCCCTCACTCTCCCTCTCACTCATTATCCTCACTCTCAATCGCTCCAGCCTCCCTAACCTTTTTGTTCTGCTCCTTGAACAAAAGAGACTTGCCCTAGATCCTGGAAGGGCTGCCCTCATATCTTCACATGGCTGACACCTTCTTGCTGTTCAGGTCTCATCTCAAATTGTCACCTCCTTGGCGCAGCGTTCTCTGACCACACAATCTAATTACCATCCTCCCTGCCAATACCCCCCAGTCAGCCTTTCACGTCTCTCTGCTGTATTTCCCGTAAGTAGGTCTCTGCATCTGGAAGTCTCTGACTCTTTACACATTTACTTATTTAGTGTCTGTCTCCTCACACTCGAGTATAAGGTCTGTGAGCAGAGGCTTCATCTCCCTTCCTCACCCCAGCTCCTGGAACCGTGCCTGTCACACAGGAAGCCTGAAGTCAGATCCAGCTATGCTCCGGCACCCATTTTCAGTCCCCATCCTCAATTTGCTTATGTCTGCTCTAACATTTATTATGTTATATCTTTTATTTGAATGGTTATTTCCCCATAAAGTGAGTAGAGGGAAAGGAGGATGCATCAAAATACAGGAGTGAGGGGCTGGAGACGGAGATGTGTATGGTGATAAAATGCTCATTCAAGTTTTATAGTATTGAGTGTAGAGGATTTATGCATCTTTGTTAAAATTATCCCTAACATTCTATGCTTTTTTGATCATAGTATGATCAGTAGCTTTTAAATTTCATATTCCATGGATTAGTTTCTAATATAATATATATAAAATGAATTTCTCAAAAGATGTTTATATTCATCTTGTATCTGTAACCTTGTTAAATTGACTACTTAGTTCTAACTAATTTTTTAAACTCCAAAGCTTTTTCTAGGTATCCAATCATGTTATCTGCAAATAAAAAATGCCTCATTCTTACATTCAGAATATGAACATTTAATATCACTATTACTTTTAAGCACAAGATACAGAAAATAAATCATCAAAAATCATAGCTGCTAGTGCTATGCAGGATATTGGGGGAGAATAGTATTATAGGGGACACGGATTGAAATAGTTTAAAAAAAACAACACTGTCTGTAGCAATTTATTATGATCCATCATTTTCACTACAGTTTAAGCTCCTGGAGAGCAATATCACATCTTGTTTGTCTATGTCCCACCTCAAAAACTGTTTTTTTAATAGGATTGAAATACCCCAGTGTTGGGCATATGGCACATGTGCGATAAATACTTGTTGGTTGACACTAAGTACAAAGGAATACACCTGAGTTTGCTGCATGATCAGTGTATGCCCAGCCCTACTGAGAAACTGTAGAGACACAAGGAAACAGAAAATGCCCTTATGATTATCCACAGAGCAAAACTTCCTGTCTCAGGCAATGACAAAACAAATGCACCAAAGAAAACATTTAAGCGGCTACCTGTGCATTTTTTGATATGACTGTTCCTTTTTCCATGGGATCCTAATTTGCATCCAAAATTCTCCTCCCAAAATTCTGCAAACCACACATTTCTTCGATTATTGGCAAGAGTTCGGCTTCGAAAGTATCGATCAAACCCTATTTTAAAGAAGAAAAGTATGATTTTAATATTCTTTCCAAATCAAAACCAAATAGTATCACAGCTTTTGAATGGATATTATGTTATATTGTGATCATTGCATGAAAAAAATATATATATATACACACATACACACACACACACACACACACACACACACACACACACACACACAAATGGGGACAGCCAAAAGCTTCCCTTATGGCAAAAGCCAAGGGGCATCGGTGGACAATATCTCCACTCTCCCACCCCACCCCCACCATTCACCATTCAGGCACCTGGCTCTAGGGATGAGCGTAACAGGAAAGCCTGTTGTGGGTGTCATTGTCAAAACCCTTCCCTCTCCTCTATGTCTCCAGGTGTCAGAACCAGCTCAGACTTTTCCTCTCTCTCCCTCCCTCTCTCTCTCCCTCCCTCTCTCTCTCTCTCTCTCTCTCTCTCTCTCTCTCTCTCTCTCTCTCTCCCCCCCCCTCTCTTTCCCCTAGCAGGGGTTAATGTTCTGGGCTTCAATGCTCCTAGCCACCTCAGAATTTATCTGTCCTAATGTTCCATTTGCAGCTAATTCAATTAACTAATCAGTACTAATGCAATCTTCTGGAGTCATGGGTAATGGGCTAAAGGTTCAGCCTGCTCAGGTAACGACCTCGTTGAAGGGAGACCACCTGGAAATAATGCCTTACTCAAAAGAATAATGGGAAAGGTGGGAGTTTCAATCACTGTCAAGACCATTGGCAAAGGTATTTGGGAGACAGACTGCCTTTCGGGGATGCGCCACATCTTTACTGTTGCGTTTATTTTGTCCAAGGGCCAGTCCAGCATCATGTCTTCATTTTCTATGGAGTCAGTATCTCCCTCCCACAGTGCTGTAACCATCATATATGCCCAAGGAATTATGCAGAGTGCAACATCAAGGAAATGGCCAACATCATGGAAATATCAAAGGCCACAATTTCCTTTCTTAAAAACAATTAATAGGCATTCTTTTCTAATAAAAAAATATGCTGAAGGGGCCAAAAAAATGTTTACACATGACTTGTATTCATCTCTTCTTATCGGTATATATTGAATATTACAATTTTAATACAGGTTTTTTCCTTTGTTTAAATGTGTATACATTTTTTGGGGCACCCTCTGTATACATGTTGGGTTAAATAGTTACTCTCTTGGCAAGTCTGCCATCAGAGCTAAAATTTCTCTCCTGAGTCATCAATAATGGGTACATTTCATCATATGCTGATACTCTGGTTTTGCCTTCGGGTTTTGATTTAATTGGAATGAAAGAAATTCTCTATGATGCGTCCTTACCGTCAATTGATGCTCTTTTGGGCAAAATCGTCACAGCCCCTTCAGCAATCTCCTCCTGCTGATAAACGGGTGCTATTTTGGACCCCCAGCTATCTGAGCCGATCCAAAGAAAATGCCCACTTTGGTTTAATTTTTTTGCTGCTTCTAATATCCTCCTATAGGAACAAAAAGAAACAAAACATACCACATTTATCAAGAAACACAAGTATGACTGTTACAAAACAGCTATATCAAGTTATATACACTCAGTAGGTCACCGTTAAACAATTAGTCAATCATTCTAACTGCCTGAGTCTTATCATCTCCTAAAGCAGCGGTTCTCAACCTATGGGTTGCGACCCCTTTGGGGGTCGAAAACCCTTTCACAGGGGTCGCCTAAGACCATGGGAAAACAAAAAGATATTTACATTATGATTCATAGCAGTAGCAAAATTACAGTTATAGAGTAGCAACAAAAAGAATTTTATGGTTGGGGGTCACCACAACATGAGGAACTGTATTAAGAGGTCGCGGCATTAGGAAGGTTGAGAACCGCTGTCCTAAAGGAAGTCTATTGGAGACTTTAACTCCAGTACCTGTTAATTAGCCTTATCCTTAACCTCATTCACTTTACTCTGTCTGTCATCCTTATTTGTCTCATTTCTTTTAGTCCCCAGGTTTTATTCTACAGACACTGCAGACTTAGAAGGCTGTGGTGTCTCCATGCAGCAGAAGGCAGTCGGTAACTACATGAGAATGTTGCAATTCCTGTGAAATCTCACAAGATTTTACACTGAACGTGAAATATGTCAGGAAAAAAAAAAAGAATGTGAGCCACAAAGCTGATCCTACATAAGGATGAAAAGTAATCAGTACCTGATATCATCTTCGTTGGCAAACATTATCACCGCCCGAGCATTAGGTGTTTCTAGCAGGCGTCTGATAATTTTTTCAAATTCTCCAGGTCTCGGCTCACGTGGGATTTTCTGTGACTGAGCGATGCAAACACCACCTGGTATTTTAAAAAAGAAGGGAAAAAAGGGAGGATTCAGAAAGGGCATTTATTTAGTTAACAAACTTAATGAGATTAGCTGCTATATAAAAACACGATTCGATACAGGATCTTGTTTCACAAAACGTCTGTCATGCTCGTCTATGAAAAGCAATCATGTTTGTTTGCATTATAATGTATGTATCAAATAAATTACGTCAAATCATACATCAGGGTTTTTTGTTTCCCCCCAAGTTTGAAGATTATTTTTGCAGATGTCTATAAGAAAACCAAAATGTACAAAAATCTGTGGCGAAAGTCAAGGAGTCAAACAAAGAAGAAGAGCTATTTTGATTAATTTAACATGAGTCAAAGGACAAAAGCCTAGATTCTTCAAAAGCATGTGTAAGTCTTATACGTGAGAGCAACTATTAAATAGGCCGGTCCTTTTACTACTTTTATTTATTAGTAGACCTCCATTAAAGTTCATTTCATCTTAGAGCTCACAGTATTACAGGAAGGTGCTAATGCATTAGCATAATGACATGTTATGAGACAAGTGGTCTTCAAGATTTTCTGAGACATAGGCAAGTGCCAAAGATGCAAACTCTCAGCTGACATACATCTCCACCATGAAAATCAAAATGGCAGAAATCCCATCCCACTAGCACAGAAAAAAAAAAAAAAACAAAAAACGAAAGAACTCTTCTTTTAGCCTCTCCTTCTAAGGCAATGAGAGACCAAAGAGAAAAGTTTAGAAAAGGATATAAGAAGAATAAAGAGATTTCTCAGTCGCAGTAGAGCAGAGAAATAACATATGCTAATACTAGAGAAAAAAAAGTAATATCAGCAATATGTTTCCATTCTATTATGGTTTAAACAGGCTTTTTGAGTCAGCTGAGAATTCAATCACCCTTTGTACCATTGCTTCAGTAGGCAAAGGCATTTTTACTTCCAAACAATTAGCTCTGTGTTCAGTCACCCAAAAATTACTGGGCGCCATTATACACTTCTCATTGGGCTGGACCCTGAGAATGCCGAGTCTAATCCAGGAAGTTACCATCCACTCTGGGAGATAGGCCTTCCGATAAGTCATCATGGAATATGTGATAAAGTCTAGAAATAACAGACTATACCCTGGGAGATAGGCCTTCCGATAAGTCATCATAGAATATGTGATAAAGTCTAGAATTAACAGACTACACCATACAATGGGAGCACAGAGGAAGCTGCAACTCAAAAGGTTGGGAGAGATGGATTTTCAAGGGCAAATACACAGCCATATAGGGACAAACATGGGACATTTCTGACAGAGAGCAAGGTATGAAAGAACCTTGCTTGACCATGGCCCATGATAGAGACTGGCTGGGGTTGAAGTTGGAAAGAATGGCCATTCTTTCTCTCAATGAAGTTGAGAATGACTTTGTTAGACATGCCAAATAATTTGAACTTGTCCTTGACAACAAAGGGAACCCACTGAAAGTTCCTAAGCAGGAGAATCACAGGGAGAGCTTTATGCTTTAGACAGACATCTCAGGTAACCAGACAAAGAAGAAATGTCTAATAGCCAGATAACGGGTGTCCAGTGCATTGAGATCAGACCTAACACATGTGGCAATAATGTATGACTAACAGTGCTAGAGTACCGAAGGTGTATTTTTCCCTAAGTTGGAGCACAGTCAGAATTATCCCCATAATAGCAATGCTCTCGCTAATCTTAACAATACTCTATTTGGGGATGGAAACTGCCCATAACCCACAGATTGAGCCTGTAGTTAGCTAGCCGACTAACAGGCCACTAATATTATAGTTGGGATAATTGATTCATTCCTCCAGTAAATATATATGGAATGCCCGCAATTTGCCAGATTCTGTGTGGGGGCTGTGAGATATACTGGTGAATAAAACAGACATGATCTCTGCCTTCACAGAGTTTAGAAATGTTGTGAGTGAACCAGGCTTAATGCAAAAAAAAAAAAAAGAAGAAGAAAATGTTTTTAATTATAGATTATGGCAGGTCCTATGAGGAAGAGCAAAGGAATTTAATTGAGATTGAGGAGTGTTCAGGAAAAGGCTCCTTAAAGTGGTATCACTTAGTTGAGGTAAAAAAGAAGAGGGAATGGGAGACAAGGTGGGAAAGAGCAGGGAAGAGCCAGTGGAGTTAGTGAACGGTGGGGAGGGAACAGTGAGACAAAGAAGAGAGGTGAACAGGACTCAGATCGTGCATGGCTATGCAGGGTCTATGGAGGTTATGAATAATTACAATGTTTAAGTTCCTCACTAAATGTTTCAGTAGCCTATAGGAATATGTCTCATCTATGAGCATTGCATTTCATGGGAGAAAAATGGATGAGGGCTGCTGACGTAGAAGGCAAACTGGAGTGGAAAGAACCAGGAGGCAATGATCCAAGTTAAGAGGTTATGGATAGGCACTGGGGACACACAATGCTACTGGTACCGATGGAGCTGTTAGAATTTCTGAGCTAGAATCCATGGGGCTTTATACATTTTTTTTTCCAGCCTTATTGAAGTATGATTGGCAGACAGAAATTGTATATACAGAGGGTGACAAAAAAAGGTATACACATTTTTAGAAAGGACAAAACTGCATTAATTATAATATTTAATATATACCAATAACAAAGGATGAATACAAGTCACGTTTGACTTCTGCAATTACAAGAGGTGCTCAAAGCTGTTACCATCAGCGTCCAGACACTTCTGATTACAGCGAACTACTGTCTGAGCATGGATAACATCTCTTAAAACGTGTACACATTTTTTGGCACCCCCGGTATTTAGGTCGCTCTGATTTGATCTAAATAGAGAGTAGTGAGAAACCACTAAACATGACTCTAAGGTTTTGGCTTTTGTGACCAGTTTCTGGGATGCCACCATTAAGCAAATAGGAACTACAGGAGGGTGAACAGGTATATGGAGGATGTAAGCATGATTTTGATTCAGAAGAGGTTGTCTTTGAAGTATCCATGGATCATCAAACTGAAAAAGTGGGTCTAGAGCTAAGGAGAGAGAAGGGAAATGTAATTACAATTTTGTCAGGTGGTGATACAGTAGGTAGATGAAGTGTTGGGAGTGAAGAGATCAGTCAGAGGGAATATTTTAAATCAACAACAGGAAAAGATGAATGATGGATCTTGGAAAGTTTTATTATGACTATTTCAGATGAGGCAAACAGGCAATCCAGGCATAGAGTTTAGTCTGAATTCATTGATTCATTCGTTCATTCATTCATTTATTCATTCAGAGTCTACAGAACATTTTTGTTTTGGAGAGGGGCGGTAGTGAATGAGAATGGAAAGAAGTAACCACATATATTGAAGAGGAAAATTTAGAGACAAAGTCTAGAGGTAAGTTGAAAACCATGTATAATGTCCTAAAAAAATCAAACAATTAGGTAAAACAAAACAAAATAAAACAAAACAAAAAAACTGTGGCGAGTAGAAGCATTAGGTAACTGTAGAAATGTAAAACCAAAACTGGAACACTCTCTAGGAAACAATCGCAGTTTTAAAATATGACTGTCCTTTTAATTAAATCGCTGTGATTACTTAAGCATCCCATTAAAGACATGCAGTAGCCTAAGTATCATTCGGAGATTGCTATTGACTCCATAGCCAGAAGACATGAAGGCTGGAAAATTTTTATTATGACTATTTCAGATGAGGCAATCCAGACATAGGGTTTAGTCTGAATTCATTGATTTATTCATTCATTCAGAATCCACAAAACATTTTTGTTTGTAAAAAACTGTTAGTAAGGTTGGATTTTTACATAGTCTAAATCTATATTGTCTTGGGTTTTTTTATTCCTCTACCTCACCCAATATTTGTCAACCTGGTCAATTTATATTTTCCAGGAAAGAGGGACTGCACAATTAATTTACTCTCGCTAAATAAATACTTATGAAGAATTTGTCCCACATGGCATTTTGCTGTTTGATGACTTACAGATATTTTATTAAATTATGGACTGCATTGCTTCTCAAGTTATTGGCATTAGAAGATTAGGATTCTTTTCTTAGCCCCCCCCCCAAAAAAAAATAAAGCTTCCTACTGAAAAACAAAAATAAAAGTGAAAACAAAATAACTTTCCAATTGCCCCTGTAAATGCTTGCCCTCAGGAGACTTTCCCGAGATCTCTAGTTTTCCCCTTCACCTTTGCACCACAGCAACCACAATAATTGTATTTAAATTTTTTTTCACCCTAGTATGTAAGCTCCATGACTACTGAACCCTCTCTGTTACATTTACTACCATACCCGACACCTATCACTGCGTGGTACACACAGACTTAAACACATATTTGTTAGCACACGCAAGACCTGTAATATTGAATGCTAGGATAGAGAAATAGTCATGGGACAGTCCTGCCTTCAAACTCCTTTCAGCCAACCGAGTGGCTCAGTTGGTTAAGAGCTCGCTCAAGAGTGCAAGCTCTGAGCAAAAGGGTCGTCGGTTCGATTCCCGGCTCGAGCTGAGCTGCCAACAGATGGCAGGATGGCTCAGCTAAAAAAAACCCAAAAAACAAAAAACAAACTCCTTTCAGTCAAGCAGGGAAACAAAAGATACATTTAATACATGTTTAAAAACAAATGGCATAAAAGCAGTAAAAAACTTTGGGCTATGGTAATTCAGAGGGAGTTGCCACTGAAATAGGCTCTGTCTCCCAGAATAATTTTTACCAGGGTGCCATGAATTGGAGCATCACCTTGGCTTTAGTTTATTCATCTGTAGGGTGGGACAGTAATTTGCTCTTATGTCAATAACACATAAGAGCAAATTAGTAAACAATTCCATTCATCATGTTATCTCTTTAGAAAGCCAAGACTCATTGAGTGAGTGGCCTCATGTTTCTTGTCTGAGAGATGAAAGGTTCATTTGTATGTGTTCGTTTGCTAGTTTGGTTTGCAGAAAGATGTTGGAATGAGAAAGAAAACAGACTTGGAGCCAGAACACCTGAGGGTGGGTCCTATGTGACCTTGAACAAGTCTCTCATCTCAG